TACTAAAACCGACAGATAAAACAAACATTACCGTCTCATTATAACTGTTACTAAAAGCGACAGATAAAACAAACATTACCGTCTCATTATAACTGTTACTAAAAGCGACAGATAAAACAAACATTACCGTCTCATTATAACTGTTACTAAAAGCGACAGATAAAACAAACATTACCGTCTCATTATAACTGTTACTAAAAGCGACAGATAAAACCAGCACTTCCGTCTTATTATAACTGTTACTAAAAGCTGGTAGTTCTTGTTTTATCTGTAGCTTTTAGTAACAGTTATAATGAGACGTTAATGTTTGTTTTATCTGTCGCTTTTAATAACAGTTACAATGAGATGGTAGTTCTTGTTTTATCTGTTTCTCATTATAACTGTTACTAAAGGCGACAGATAAAACAAACTTTACCGTCTCATTATAACTGTTACTAAAACCGACAGATAAAACAAACTTTACCGTCTCATTATAACTGTTACTAAAAGCGACAGATAAAACAAGAACTACCGTCTCATTATAACTGTTACTAAAAGCGACAGATAAAACAAACTTTACCGTCTCATTATAACTGTTACTAAAAGCGACAGATAAAACAAACATTACCGTCTTATTATAACTGTTACTAAAAGCGACAGATAAAACTAACATTACCGTTTCATTATAACTGTTACTAAAAGCGACAGATAAAACAAGAACTACCGTCTTATTATAACTGATACTAAAAGCGACAGATAAAACAAACATTAACGTCTCATTATAACTGTTACTAAAAGCGACAGATAAAACAAACATTACCGTCTCATTATAACTGTTACTAAAGGCGACAGATAAAACAAACATTACCGTTACTAAAGGCGACAGATAAAACAAACATTACCGTTACTTAAGGCGACAGATAAAACAAGAACTACCGTCTCATAACCGGGTATAGACTTGTTATTGGTAGAATGGCACATTTGAATCAGTAACTGAATGTTATTTTGAATTAGTGCATGCTGCATTTTTTATGGCCAGTAGTTTTAAGGGACAATGTCAAATTAGGTAATAGGTGGAACAAGTCTACTGAACATAAGTTTTCATTTTAGCCGGATTGGTTTTTATCTGTAGCTATCCTCTGTGAGAGTGAAAAAACGGCGGACGGTTTCGACACGATGTTGGGGGTGAACTACATCGGCCATTTTCTCCTGACTCTCCTGCTACACGACAAGATGAGAAAATGTCCAGACAGTCCAACCAGGGTCCTTAATGTGGTCTGCAGTGGATTCCGTGGAGGGAATTTGCAGGACCTGAAAAACTTAGAAGGACAGTCCGAGGGAGCTTACTCAATCAAACAGCATTACAGGAACAGTAAACTAGCCCAGTTTTTATTTACGAAGGAGGTCAGTCGTAGGTATCGAGAAATGGGTATAGTGTCCTTCGCTGTGGACCCAGGTGAGTGAACAGACAGGTAGTCAATAAACACTTGTACGTGATTTACAGACTTACAGAAGTAGAACACAAAAATATAAAATATAACACGTTAAATGCTTATTTGCATGAAATACTGATAATTTTCTTATATAATGATTTTTTTTTTATAAATCTCTATTCTAAGATTTTGAATATACAGGTTGACTATCACTAATCCGGCATCATCGGGACCTGGAGGGTGCCGGATTAGCCATCTATTAGGTTAGAATACACCAAACCCACTAGCTAACCACCTCATCTTAAAATTAAAATATCCCATAAAACGGGGTTTTCTTTAAGTTTTAATCAAAGAAAATATTGGAAAGAAAACTTTGAAGCGAGATTAAAGTATTTACCTAATAGCACGTATCTTGCTTTACTGTATTTGAAATTGTTCTAGCCGAAATTAGTGTCGGATTACTGATTGCCGGACTAGTGATGGTCAACCTGTATCAGAAAATTCACGGCAGACTTAAAGAAAATATTTCTGAAATCAAATCAGTCGCAGGTTAGCAATATTTAACCCTATTTCAGTAAAAGCTAGTTGTCCTTTTACAAACAGAAATAATGTGATTTCAACAGGATTTATAGGAATCCTTAGTAGTATACAAGTTAGAGCAATTCTTGGCCTAAGTTATACATTAAATAGGTATTTCAATACTTGTATCTCAATACTTACAACTAAATCTTCCCCATTTAGGTCTCGTCTCAACAAACCTGTATGCCCATCTCACTGGCTTTTCTGGACAGCTCACTCAGGCATGTGCTAAGGTTCTCTATCGAACCCCAGAAGAAGGTGTGCAGACGATTCTCTACTGTTTGCTGACCAAGGGAATTGAGCCAGAATCCGGCAAGCTCTTTCGTGACTGTAAATTGCAAGAAGTTCATGTGCCTGAATGGGATGATCAAGCTGCTAAAGCATTATGGGAAAACACTTCTGACGTAATTGAACAGAAAGGTATTAAACTCAATTTTGAAGAAGCAGAAGAGGAATAAAACAATACCTTAAGATATTTTTCATCAAAACGCAAGATAGCGAACATGGGTTTGTGAAACGTGTGATAGCTAATATTTCATGTTCCAGGAGCTGAGTTTTCATAATTGCATAAGTAGTATACCAGTTTCATCAAGCACAACTATTACAACGGAGTATATTGTTCAAAAGTTCAGACAAGTTACTGCCCTACCTTCAGTCTTAAATTTTAGGATTATAATTACCTTAGGATGTGCTGTGCAAATATTATTCTATTCAAAATTTAAACTAAGTCTTAGACTTTGATTGTTAAAGAATATGTGTAGTAAATTTAAAATGTCCTGCTGTAATTCATGTATAAATAAAGTGATTTTGAAGCGTGTTACAAAACATGGTTCACTTGTGAAATAAGTCAGTCACTAATGTATTGTAAATTCACGAACAGTTTTTAGTTAGTCCACAATCTAAGATAAACAAATTCTACTTAGTCCAGGGTCCAAGATATACAATTTCTATTTAGTCCACAGCCTAAGATGTATCTATTTTATGCTACATTCATTTAGCAGTAATTACAAATATTGGGCTCCATATTCACTTAGACTTTCAAGTAACAATCATAGCAACGATAATTTTTCATTGATTCAGAGTCGTGGGTATGTAAGAAAAGATTATACATTAATAAATTATAATAATCATAGTAACCACCATTCCACTGTGTTTGGAGCAATGAGTCAGTAGAAATAACTTAAACACAGATAATCATGGTAACCACCATTCCACTGTGTTTGGAGCAATAAGTCAGTAGAAATAACTTAAACACAGATAATCATAGTAACCACCATTCCACTGTGTTTGGAGCAATGAGTCAGTAGAAAAACTTAAACACAGATAATCATAGTAACCACCATTCCACTGTGTTTGGAGCAATGAGTCAGTAGAAATAACTTAAACACAGATAATCATAGTAACCACCATTCCACTGTTTTGGAGCAATGAGTCAGTAGAAATAACTTAAACATAGATAATCATAGTAACCACCATTCCACTGTGTTTGGAGCAATGAGTCAGTAGAAATAACTTAAACACAGATAATCATAGTAACCACCATTCCACTTTGTTCAAGGTTGTGGGTAAGAAAGAAAATATTATACACAGATGGTCACAGCAACCATTATTATACTTGGTTCAGGGTCATATGTAACCTATAAAATATTAAACATGATATTTTTTTAAGTTTTAAGACTGGTCGCGTGGCCTATGATATATTGTATTGGTCGCCTATAAAAATGTTTATATCCAAATAATAATAATATTTTAAACCTTATAACACATTTTTTTCTGACGAATTTAGATTTTAATATCAGTGAAATTCTGGCTTTGGGGTTAGTTACATTTATTTACATATTTAAGAAAAAGGAACTTTAAAGAATATATGCGTATATCAATGTGCATTTTGACCCAGTTATTCTGGAGAAATATACAGATTATCACTACTACATGTATCTGTAAATGTAAATAACTAAAAGAAACATTGCACGGATATGCAAAGTATCGGCTTAAAGTCCAAACAACTAATTAACGTGACATTTCGAAAGGATTTGAAGCGATTGACCGTAGAATGGAAACTTGGAAATTCTCGGTCTCAAAATTACATAGTTTAATGTAAAATAGGCCTCTTATATAACAGAAAAACTAAACTATGCTTAAAGCCAATATGATCAAATGTTAAGCTTCTGTTTCCTACCTATGCCAAACAAGTTCTTTGTGAGAACTAGGTAATTGATAAGGTTAACTAGGCCTTATAAAAATATAAGGAAATTGATACAGTGAATCAGTTAGTTCAAATACTCTATATCTATGTTATAGCTTATCGCAGAATTATATAAATAATGAATTTCACCAGAGACAATTTACGCCACATACCAGCTACTGCTTTCTTGGTGGGAAAAAAATCGAATTATTTATCATTCATTTATTTTGCTAAAGGTAGCCTTATTGCTGGTCGAAAATGTTGTAGTTTTACTAATTTATTCGAGGAATAAAGCGCCGTTAGAACACTGGGTGACCACTAGGTGAGAGGCCTATATCAAAACGTTAGTGGTTTGGCGGGAAAAGTATGCTACGGTTTAGTCATTGTTTCATTTTACTATATTTATCAAGCAATTAATAATAATAACACAATTAAATTGCTAGTATTGAATATTGAACTTTTAGCATCAGTCTGATTAATGGTACGTCATTTTGGTATCTCGTCGTACCTGCGGATTTATTAGTAGGACGAAATACGTACCGTCTCGTACGACTATACTACTACTACTGAGTACTAGGTAGCTCAAAAAGTAAGTACATAAAGATATGACCAGTGTGAAATAATGTTATAAAAGTAAGCTAATATGAAACGTGATCAAGAGTCAGAAAGGTCCACAGTGAGGGGGTCTGGGGTTCAGAAGAACCCCGTATTTTTGTGATGTAAAAAAATACTGTCATCGAGTTAATGTTCACGTGAACGTTCGGCATCCGCTCTCCGCCGGTTGAATAATTATCTGAGGTGTACACAAACCGAAGAAATACTAAGTGCTCTAGCTTTAATACGTAATAATTATGACGCAGCAGTCAACATTAAAACTGTTGTAAGTTATTTATGGAAAAGCACTCCAGAAGAATGGAGCATGCTAACATGTTATTTCACTTTATTGAATACATGTTTGTATATGATAGCCAATGATTGAAGTAGCTAATATAGTTGTTTAAATTAGTAATATATCTATACGGTTTTCGGTCCGTTTTACTTCACCATATAGTAATCTAAATTAACTTAGTTATAAGAATAATATTACGACATTTCGTCGAATTCATTATTCGATATTATACAGCGGATCAACTGTTTAATGATTGCATATATATGTTAAAGATTTCTTTTCATCATGGAGTTTCTCACTATGACTGAATTCGTGAAGTACCGCTTGTTCTCAGAGACTTGATAAAAATGTTATACATATATGGTTGCTAAGACAGTAACACACTTTGGTACTAAAATCCAACTCCTCTCTGTTAAGCAAATAGTTAGATACCAGTTTTGATCCCGTTCGAGCCAGTTAAACCACATAATCTCGAGGTTACATAACCCGTGATTATCGACTCCAATAACCCATTCATCACAGCTTTACCAATATGATAACTCGTAAATACATAACCAAAATATGGACAAGTGTAGGACTGGAACTGATATCTGCAAAACTGCCAGTTATACCTAATACATTTTAAAATACTAAGCTTTACTTCTAGGACTGAAGTTAGATGTAGACCATAACTTAACCTTGTATTTCTCGATTATTCTTGTCACTTTCACTACGATATATGTTCATAAGAAAACGCAGGAGAGGCTCTCAGCTTCGTTTCTAAGTGTCACCACAACCAGTGTTAAATTCCGTGAATGGGCCTAGTCAAGAAATGTTTTATCTGAACCCGACGTTAGTTAAATTTAGCTTCCTTTGAACACGATACCGTAGGTAGATGTATGTTGAAAGTCATTAACTTCTGCTTCTACAGATATACGCCATCGCCCAAGGGACACTATATTTAATACTACTTATTTAGAATAATGGGGGTGGGGGTGGATAAGATAAAATAAAACTTGTGCAACTTAACACATTTATAATCATGATACACAGAAAGAAAGAATAGTAATATATTCTTGATGATTAAACAAATATTATGGATAAGGAAGGGTGATAAGAAAAAGTTGTCATGGTAATAGTATGTGCGTCACTATTCTAACGAAAATATAAACAAGTAAGATGGCCGCCTTTTTTTTTTAGAGAAGACAGGTCTTACACTGACTCTGTACTGAAGAATTTCTGGACAAAGTGCCGAGAGTTGCCTGCAATCACAACTTTAATAATTAGGGTACCATAACGATTAAATTAGAAAGAAATAACTTGATTTAGGTGTGGCATAACTAAGAAATAAATAATCAAAACTTGCAGATGCTAAATATTATGTAATCTTAGTGTCTGGATAGTTTCCACTCAGAACGGCGTTCCATGCCTCATGTTGCTCTTGGGCCTACTTCTCTCTATGGTGTATGGTGTTCAGCCCATAATGGCCATGATTACGCATTGTTGCCTGACGCCTCAGTAATAAGTCTCCAAAGACTCGCCATTTTAAGTGGACGTGGGCTTCCAAGACTAGGGGTGTGTATCTCATCATAATAGTCGATACGATAGTATCTATATGTTGATGCAGCGATACGATACGTATCTAGATACAGAAGTTTTACCAACCGTTTCTTACAAAGTTTGACAGTCTTGTCTGTAATTTATTATCTATATTATTAACATTGACTTATTTAAGTACTTCACGCTTTACAGTGCTTTTTTTTCAAATTCTTAGGTTTGATCAACTAAATGGCAGCTAGCAAGAGAAGTAAAATAATAATAAAAAGTTAATATCTGTCTATCTATTTTGTTATTGTTAATTTGTTATTTTACTTTTCGTGTTTTTGATAAAAAGAAATGAAGACAACATGTAGTACTCAATACTCAGCTTCCTTTATTGAATCATTAATTTTTACCAAAAAATTACATTATTAGAAATTCTGATATTTTCTGTACAAAAGACTTATGATGTTTATTGAAAGCTTGCCACATTTTCTGAAGATACATAAATCGTATCGGACGATGTATCGATACAATAGTATCACGGCTTCACGATACGATAATCGTATCGTATCGCTGTATCGCCACACATTTATCCAAGACCACTATAAATCAAACCAAAAAACACAAAAGTCAGTTGGATTTACATCTTGAAATTTGAAAGTTATGCGGTCGAATGATATTGCCATTGTTATTCCAGTTTTCTTGGCCATAAAAACAACTGTTGAATTTAAGGTGTGACTGTCTGTTTGTGGACTTTTGACTTGTAAGCCTTCAACAGCTTTAATCGTTGGCAATCATTTTGTTAATGGTACATATGCGCAGTTTCGTCTAATGGATTTTTGGACTTAAGGGTTCTTTTTTTTTGTAATTATTGCCTTCATTTTGTGGATGAGGGTATTACTGCGGATTTGGCCTGTTGCTCTCCTAAACGTTCTGCTGTGCAAATTTTTCTAATTCCAAGGGAAACATTAGAGGCTTAATTCTTAAACATATGATGTCCTTAGGCTTTAGATGAAAGCTAGTTAGAGTAGTCATGCATACTAAAATGACTTCTTATAATTATCTGATTTATATAAGTAAAAAAACATTTGTTGTAGACTACACCTACTTCGAACAAAACGTTATGGTCCAATATTTTGTTTTCGTTAACCCCAATGAACTAAAATTTGTGTCAAAAATTCTGTTTTTTCTATGTATTATAATGAGATATTACTTGAATAGTAACTCTGA